ATAATTACACAAAAACAACAAAACGGATTTCCATGAAACTTGGTGGACCGATGCTGGAAGAACCTGTGAACCGATTCAGATCCGGATCAGGCAAATCCAGGATTTTTTTGACTTTCAGATTACGAGATGGTGTTTCTCAACATTGTCGTTGTTTCCCCAGGGAATAATTAATGAATCTATAAAAGAGAATCAGGCCCCTTTAGAGACACGAGTGTCCCGAATGTTGTCACATGCAGGTTTCTCTGTATTTATGCCTCACAAAATAACCTCACAAAATCTGTTTCTATTTTTCTCGAACACGATTAAAATCAGCTTCAGAGAATGTATTCCAATCCAATTGGTACAAACATTCACTTGGATTCAAAGATTTACGGCCACTGTGACCTCACGAAATAGGCATTGCCCTGTGAACACCTGAAGGAAATCCTTTAAACTTTTGCACCAATGTTCATTTAGACCAGTGGTCACCCACCCATCGATCGCGATCTTCTAGTCAATCTCTGCAATCTCACTGTCTTCACTGTTGATCCCCAAACTTTCTGGACTCACTGACTCATTTGCTGCAGATCAGCTGTGTGTCAGTTGTCTGTTGTTCACACAGGCAGTGGAAGCTGCTGGTTCATCTACTGCATTTCCCTTAATACTAGTCATGTAATGGACTAAACTAAATGTCAGGACTCTACGGTATGAAGACTTACATCTTCTGGTCTTGTGAAAAAAATCAAAGCCCTGTTAGAACAAATGAATGGATTCAGAAAGTGAAACTTTGGAGTGGTTTTACTTTGAAATGGGTTCAGGAAGTGTTGAAAATACATATGTTTGTGACATAGACAGATAAACTTTGTGTTTCACAGCAGAATAAACAGAGAAAATGGTCTTTAAACTGAGTTTTAATGTTTATCTGATGAATTTATGTCACAAACATAAGGGTTGCAACGCTTTCTGTATATGTTTTAAAATAAAGGCAGACCAGCCTTTCTGTTGATTGAATCCAATCATTTGTTTAAAAAATGCATTTTATTTTGAAATATTATAATATAGGAGCAGAAGATGCACAGCTTCATCCTGTATAGTACTGGTTTTTATTTGAGTATACAGGAATACTTTTACACAAGGAAATAGTCGTACTTATAGCTGTATTAAGGCAAAGCCTATTTAAACACATTGTGCTGCAGTAGCATATTGTTGAACTGAGAANTCAGAAAACAATTAAGGCTGAGTGGCATCAGTAATAGCTACATCACTCGTACACTTTATCATTTTCATAACTCAGCCACTGAAAACAGGAGAGAGTCAATTCAAGTCTAAACTCTCTTTAGAAAGAACACTTGAGTTATATAATACAGTGTTCACTTCAACTGTATTTAAGTCAACTACTGATTAAAACCACCGCACTCACTATGACATGCTTATCAACATTGTTTACAATCATAGGGATAAAATCTGAAAGTTACATATAAAACACATGTATCTCAGCAAGTTGTTTTGAATTCCACAGTTTAAAACATTCTTCAGATTCTTTCAACTTGTCAGGTTTGAGTTCATTAAAGCACAGTGTGTAGAATTTAGTGATATCTAGTGTTGAAGTTGCATGTTGAAGCTGAACACCCCTCACCTCACCCTCTCCTTCCAAACATGAACAAGAACCTGTGGTAGCTTCAGTTGTCATAAAAACTCAAAAGGAGTTTAGTTTGTCCAGTCTGGACTAATGTAAAAAACATGACGGCCTCTGTAGAGAGGGTCCCCTCGATGTAAATATAAAGTATTTAAATATAAAGGTCTTTTCTGGGGTAAAGAAAACTACAATTCATACAATTTAGATGAAATGAACTAGTGAAAACATCATGAGGATTATTTTACATTAAATATCTGCCAATGGATCCCTTTTACCTAAATATTACACACTGGACCTTTAAGTGAGTTTTCTTCTTTATTTCTGTCTCACCTCTTTCATCCACCTTTTCTATATTTTTATACAATTGACCTTTTGATAATCCCAACTCACAAAGAACGAAATGTCCAAATGTCCAAAAAAAGTTTAGTTTCTGTTTGAAACAATGCACGACTGTTATACCACGACTTATATCATGTCTGTATGTGAAGAGTTTGGAAGGTTGTACATTATCATCCCCTTTTCAAAAGGAGGAGCAAAAAGGTTTATGATGAATTATTCTCTTTATATCTGCTTATGTTTACAGTGAAAATGTTAGCATACCTACTCACCTACTTAGTATTAGCTCCAAGGTTAAGTTAACATTTCATTGGCTAGCTACATTATTATGTGTGGTTACAGATCACAAATACTGTGTAAGCCCCTACACCAGAGTTTAGAATAACATAAACAGCTCGAATCTGTAATCTCCCACAATCTGCCATTTCAGCCTACAAAATTGATTTTTCTACTTCTGGCTGACATCATGGAACCACTGCCTCCAGAACAGCTATGCATTTCATTCTCAAATGATGGCAACCTTGCATTTGCGGTAGATCGGGAATAGTGATGTCATGTCACATGACATGGCCAACCAGAGCCCAAATCCCTTACTGCACGCAAAGCACATCATGGCAGAGACAGCGACGATGTTTAGCTATATTGTAATTTTCATAATGTTACTAGTGATGAATTATATTGGAGATTTATTTCAAGACAATTTCACATGAATTCATATAAATATGAATACTTATAACAACATTATGATCTTATTGGATTCTTGATTTTGTCATTTGCCAATTTCCTTTGTTACTGAGCAATAAGTAATTAAACAAGGTTAACTTTTACATACACCATCTATTGTGATGACCTAGTATGGATCATCAGTCCTTTGTATACACAACTGTTGTACTGTAGTACATAATGTAAATACATTTCATTTGTCTAATATTTATATCGCTCTAAAATTCATACAAACAGGTAGCCAATATAGATAAACAGGTAGAGTCAAATAGAAAGAAGAACAGAGTTGAGACAGCACACTACATCTGCTGGGCTTCCAACTCCCCTGAGCGGACCGCGTAACGGCGCTATCAGGAAAAAAATGAAGGGAGTCAGAATCTGCTTCTACATTAACGAAGGTTGGTGTGCAGATGTCACAGTGGAAAAGAAATCATGCAGTCCTCACCTAGAAAACGTCTATGTGCCTTGAGATAATGTATATTATGATTTGGTGCTATACAAATAAAATTGAATTGAACAGTGTCAGATGTAGCTGGTTTGTATAAGAATGTCGGATCCCACAGACAGTGACAGCTATGTAATATCAGGAAAATCATATTAACAGAGCAAGCAAAGTATACTATAGTGACCACAAGAACAGGAAAAGTACAAAGCAGATGGCAACTGTGAGAAATATACAAACTGGCTGGGTGGTCATGAGACATCACTACTCACAAGCCATTGGACCTTACATCTACCATACCACAATTCATGGCAACAATGGCTGCTAGTTATGGGACCGTCAGTGAGAATGATCCGCATGTGCACTATTTAATCTGACTTGTTTGCAGTGCCACATTTAAATTTGCATGGTTTCATTCTTTTGTTTGAGTTGAATCAGGTTCAGTGTTCAGTACATGCGTCAGGACATTGCCACAGGGAAAGGCAGAGCTCAAGACTCCTCTCTAGCACCGATGTCAAGTATTTCCCAATCTGCACTCAAAGCAAACTGGGCTGTTGGCAGAGATAGAGCAGAGACACCTCTGCCTCTTGTTTCTTTGTCTTCCTGACACTGATCCCTGCATGGACTGAGAAGAGAGCGGACGCAGATAACTGTGGACCTGGAGCATTCTGGTGGATTAGGAAAGTAAACCTCTTTGTTTTAAAAACACTGGGTCTTGCCTGTTTTTTTTTTTTTTTACATAACTGATTTTTACTAAAGGAGGAAAATGCTGCTATACACCTGAACTTGTCTCGGAGGGTTCCATTTTCCCTCTTTAAGACAAACCATTAGAGGCAAATGCACTGAAAGTCAATTAACCATCTTGTTTCCTTGTGCCTAGTCTGCACCAGCTGGACCACAGTTTGAGCTGACCCCACCTCCATTGATGAAAATTAAAAAGAGATAAATAAATGAACCAACAATTCTATCTGGTTTGTTGTGACACTCAAAGACTCTCCCGCTTTTATTTACAGCCAGTAGGTATTGATTTGAGTTTTTTTAATCAAATGTGATCGACTCGACACCATCTCAGGTACATCCACCGCCACCGAGTTACTTCCGCTGCAACTTGACTGGCAAAGATACGGCTTCAGGTGGAACTGCTGCAAATTCAATAATTTCTTTATAAACACACCCTTTCACAAGGTGTTCGCTCGAAGAAAAAAAAGGGAGCTCGGGCCGGACCGACTCGATTAACAGATTCAGCAGCTGTCAAGTGATCGAGGACGAGCTTCCACCCGGGGCTTCTCCAGCTCTTGCTATGAGAAACATGAAAGTTCCCACAGTCACTTAGACACAAGGAGGCTAGATTTTTGCAGCAGGCTTAGCATTGCTCAGCAGCTGGATGACGGCTACAACATTGGCATATTGTGTGTTGTGTTGTTTTTATTGAGTCTGGTTTCAGTTTGTTTGCCCCCCCCCAACACTTCATCCCCCCATTAAATTTTGTTACCAGCTGCCACTGCAACATTAACTCAGTGAGCAGACATAGCAAGTGGTCAATTGTAACAACTCTGCTGTTTTCTCAACATTCTCCATTTCTTTGAATCCATTCACAACATTTCTGTCTCATAGTCTGGAATATAAAGCTCCGTCAACTAATGACTTTGTCCTTCCCTGTCTACAAACAGTCAGCCTGAGTAAATAAGCTGTGCAGCTCTCTCAGGAAAGTTATGAATATGAAGTGAAGTTGTATTTGATAGATCTCAGAAAGCTGCTTGGGAAATGATTGTTATCCACTGTTCAGGTTTCAGTTACTCTCAAGCCATTTTCTTCCAAGCTACTCAGAGCTTGACAGTTCTCATTATTATTAGGTGTTAGCTGGTATTGTTTTGGCTGGAATTGCTGAGCTGATCTCAGGTCTCGGGGAAGACTCTGATCCCATCCTGTTGAGGGAGGTAGCTTTCGTCAAGCCCTCACTGCCCACAGTGGAGAGAGGGAAGCTCTCGTAGCTTTCTGCTGCCTGGCTGCCACACTGGCAGCGCTGCAGTGTTGACTTCAGCTCCCTCTGGAAGTTGCTGTTGAGGAAGCCGTACACCACAGGGTTAATGCAAGTGGAGGTCATCGCTGTTAGGTGGCAAGCAGAGAAAACAGCATCATGCTGGCAGTCGGGTAGGGCCTGGTGGTGCCAGTCAAACACTGTGTTGAAGACATTCAGAGGCAGCCAGCACAAAGCGAAGGCTATGACGATGGCTAAGAGCATAACGTTTATCCTCTGGGCTCCCCGTGTCCTCCTACTGCGCTCCAGCATGTCCCTGCACAAAACAGCATGATGCCTATTTTCATACAATCCACTGTGAAATATCATATCTCACCTAAGGCAGAATTATGACAATGTAATACATAAACATAGCACCCAAAAAATGTTATCTTGATAGAATGACACAAAGATGCTCTCACACTATGAGAGAAAGTAAAGCTGCTTGACCTGCGTCGTTTCAGGCGTAGGAAGATCCTGAGGTAGCAGAGGAGCACCAGCAGAAGTGGCAGGCAGTATTGGAAGAGCAGCAGCGAGGTTGTGTAGGCAAGACGATGCTTATCTGACGGCCAGAGCTCCATACAGATCAGATGGTCCCTTAGACACGGAGGAATTTGCATATGGAAAGAGTCAAGACAATAAAAAAGAGAATAAGCTCTTACAACCTCTTATTGATTGAAAAAATATTTCTCATCCATATTACAAAAGTTGATTTATTTGAATTTAAATGTATTAACAAGTCAAAAGCTACAGCCTTTAATACAATGTTTATGAGCTTGTCAGATTGCACACACCTACATTGTAATAACTTTCCTCCATGCCATCTTAATGTCCTTATTCTTATATACAGTAACTTTTCCAACTGTAATCTGTGCTGTCTGAACATTATCTACACTGTCTAGTGCTGTATATCCTGCTGCCTTAGTCAGACAGATTTAATAACTTTAAAAATGGACAAAATAATTTGCTTTCCAAGACAAAACTAAAGTATTGACTATTATGTGAATTTATAAGCTAACACCCTGCACTAATGCAGCAAACTCTAGCACAGAGGTCCAGTTAGAGAGAATTTCCTTAAGCAAAGGTCCTAAAAATCATAATGTCTAACATGTGTTATCATTCAGTGCCATTTTGAAATAGCCTAGTAGATGTATTAACATCTGTATGCAGTCAAAACTGACCCTATAATAACAGAAGTACAATCCATAGTATTTCAACAATGTTTATTACAAATTTTCCCATTGAACTGGAGGGTACTCTAATAATAAAATAATAATAATAATATAAAAATACTAATGTTCTTTTCTTGTTTCAAGCAAAATAAGTTTTGCATTTAAGAGCTTTTGAATATATATGCTTATAAATAAATAAAGTGCTTTCTTAACTACATTTCACATATAAGCAATATCATCAATTATTAACAACTAAACAGCTTTAACACCTCCTTTTACTCTTTTCCCCCCACTTTCTCTTGTTCCGTGAGAGAAGTAAGCTCTTCCATATGCTGCCAGGATTTACTACTGTAAAGACGGAAAGCAAAAATAGAAATAATAGGTCTGGGTCCGTATAGAACAGGTCCCAGATCCAGACTGCGGCCCACCTATTGTTGACCTATGCTCTAGCACTAGAAAACAAGCCAGCAAACAATATGAACACTTTCAGTCAACCATGATCTGCTGAGCAAATGAGGACTGTTACAGACGATAGTGGCATATAGTGATTCACATGAGACCAGTTTGTTAACAGCAAGACTAAAACTAGTGCCCATGTTCAATTTTTAGATAAAGTTTAAAATCAAGAATCAATTCTAAATTGAGTTCATGGTGTAGTCATGGTATGACATATTTAAGGTATAAATGGCAGAATGAGTTTTTACATTGATCAATGATTACACAGACGCATCTGAAATGAAGCCAAACGGAAGCTTTATATATGGAATATGTCTGAATATTTTAAGGTGAAGACAGTCGTGCTTCGTACCCCATGTCTAAAAATGGCTTTAGCGGGATTAAAGAATCTGCTGTAATCAGATATTGTTGAGCAGCCGAATCTCAAGTCAAGGTTCCCACTGCCTGACAAACAACTCTGCAGTCACAGACTCATTTCCTATCGGTTGCTGTGATGTGAAAAATACTCAGCGGTGCGACAACGATTTAATTCTCTTTATCCGAGTGCTCAGAAGCTTTAGCAGCATTAAACATGTAAATACCATGGACATACACTTATGTCAGTGTATTTTTCAGAGTATGAAAAGGATTTTATAGCTTTGTATGCCACTCCTGATTTCACTTTCTTTTCATTAATGCTGTTGCTTTTCTTATTTAGCATTATGGTTGCCCAGTTGATGCTTATGGAATATTATGTCACTGCCTTTATTATTATTTATTTTCAATAGCTGTAACATTTCACTTTGCAGAACAATGCAACATTTCCAGTTTAATGTTTTATGGGTGTGCAGACATCATTTACCTTATATATTTAAGTCTGTTTAAAAGCTAAATTTTTATAATCAGATCCATTAAAATTAACAATGCCTTTCAGTTTGAGTGTTTTTTTTTAGAATTAGGGACAGGACAAACAACACGAGTTCTTGGCTGGAATCAAACTGTGAATATTACGGTTATATGGTATTCATCCTCATCATTTGGCTACTAACACACCCATGGCCACCCTTTTGAGAAAATAAGGGATGTATATATTTTGAGATTCAGTACAACTTCTTGTATTGTTTAAGATCTCAAGTCTGTATGCATGTGGCTCCAAGAAACTATAGCTCCACAAAAGGCCTTTCATTTGCTTATAGTGGCAATCTGAGCAGGCAGAAATGGAATTTGATGCAAAACAAGCACTAAAGTTGCACTGTGCTCCCTAACTGTCATAAATGCGTCATTGTGCAAAAAGAATAAAATTAGGAAATTAGTGCATTAGTCCTGCTGGTCGGCCCCCCTGGAGGTTCGCCGTCTTTCCGTTGACTGACCTCAATAATTCATCTTATAAAGCGCAGTCACAACAGAAAGTATCACTGTGAAATTTGTTATTATTAAATATTTTCTTGAAGGGGCTTGGCGATGGTACTAAAAGAAAATAGTTGGCAAAGCAATGCAGCTGACGAACTTGTGCTACTATCACAACAGCTCTCAGAGGTTCTTTCTATCTTCTCTGTGTTGACCTGTTTACTCTTTCCTCCCATTTGGATCTCAGGATTGTTCACCATTTCATTTTAGACCTTACTGGACTAATACGCTTTGAAACAAGCCAGCGGAGTCAGTCAATAAGTAAAAGTGGATGGTGCAACAAAAGTTATGGTCAGCACTGTCATTGATGCAAATCTGCAATGCTCAAAGTTGACCTTGATGAAAAAGTCATGGATATACTTTGCCCCATTAATGTAGCACCGTATGTTTGTGTTTCGAGCTTGAGGACACTGTAATATGTAGAATCACAATGCTCACACCTGTACACCAAATATTCCATCTCACCTGAAGGGATTGGCAGGCAGGCTGATGTTCTGGAAGGGGTTATTAGTGAGAATGTTGAAGGAGAGGAAGGGCAGAGAGATGAAGCAGGCAACCAGCCATGTAAGCCCCACAGCCAGGTAGGAGTGGCCAGCGGCGGGGGACCAGCCGGTGGGATGGAGTATCAGCTGGTGACGCTCCAGAGCAATCAGCACCAAGGAGAAGATAGAAACTGTCACAGACATGCACTGAACAAAGGGAGTCACCTAGACAGATAAAAGCAGACAAGATTTTACCAGATTTGCAGGTTTTTAAAATATGAAAATGCTTAATCACTATATTAACGATGTGTATATGTATGTGTGTGGTACACTGACCTTACACAGGGCCTCTCCCAGTACCCAGCGGTCCATCAATGTGTATATGACGGTAACAGGCAGACACACCACACACATCAGGATGTCGGAGCATGACAGGTTGGCGATTAGGATATTGGTAACGTTGCGCAACTCCTGTTGCCGAGCAATTATAAACACCAGGCCTGCGTTACCTAACAATCCGATTGCTATGACAGCGCTGTACGCCACGATCAAAAAAGTTGCCCCGCCCACCGAGGGTTGGCACTGAGAGGTGTCTGCCCAATCCGAGGCCTCCCAGACCCCAGGGAGGCTGCTGTCATTGAACATGGCGGAGAGAGGAGAGGGAAGGGAGGGGGTGATGTGAGAGGGGTACAGTGTGTCGGTGGTCAGGGTTCAACTGGAGAAGAAATGCAGAGGCTGCTCTTATGTCTGTTCAAACACAGTTTAGAGCCAGACAGGATGATGGAGGCAGAGGACAGGGGGGACACTGCAGGTGATCTATTGTATTCAGTGTTCTGTTGCTGGAGTTGGGAGATTGTGACTGAGGAAAGGAGTGATTCAAATATAGATGCTTTCCCCTTTTTACTCCACTGTCAGCATCTCAGTGGAACAGCTCAGCATCAAGATTTCTCTGTAAAACACAGAAAACATGAGAATAACGAAAGAGGTGAGTATCTCTCATTGGACAACTGAGGTGGCTCTTGTCAAGTAGCAGACCTCTCAATATTCCACCTTCGCTTAGGTGGAATATTGATATATATATATATATATATTCATATATATGCCTAAAACGAAACTCACACAGACATTAAGAATACAATCATGCAATCATGCAGAGCATTTCTCATATAAAAACAATTACGCAGAGGTAGGTTCATGATATTACAGACATATGCAGAGTCTCTCTTTAGCTTTCTTGTGACTTAAAGTGCTCCAGAGCACTTGTGAAGAGACAATTTTGTATACAGGTGTGGCTGGTAAGGGTGATGTAGAGATCCAACGTTCAGGGGCCTGTACACAAAGCAGGATCTGTGAGCATCAGTAACTTTAGGTTTAGCTTTGGGCTGACTCACCTTGGTAACTGACACTACTACTGACCAATCAGATCACTGTAAGCCAGCGTCATCTGATCATGACAGGGACACAACAGCAGATATTTTGAGTGAACAGTGGAATGTGTACTGTTCCAGAAACAGCCATAGCCTCTAATGTGTTTTATTAGAAAAATGATCACACTGTTTAATGTTTCCCACAATTATAAACAAACCTTTCAGTCATACTGAGCTAATTGCACATTAATTAGGTCTCTTCCATCCTCCCTGCTTTGGCAGCAGAAACAGTCTGACATCATTTGAAGTGTTTATGCCTCGGCACTGACGACAGCCAGGGGCAAGATAGATTATGTTTTTTAGTTGTCTGTCCATCTGTCCCATTCCTAAGAGTGCACTATCTCAACAACGCCTGTTTATTCTATCCTCAGGAAGTGTTAGTTACACTCAGTTCTATCAATATCCATCTTAGCCTTCACTTCAAGGGTACTGAACTTAATAATAACGCATCCTGGAAGGTGTCAGTGTTTTCACTTCATGTTTAAACAGTGTTTTTTGTTATTACGTTTTGAATTCATGTTTTAAGTTTGTCCTGTATTCCCCTCTGTGTCCCTCGCTGGTGTCCCACTCTGCTCCTTTCTGTGTATTACTCTCTGCGTCCCTCTCTGTGTCCCTCCCCTGTGTTCCCCTCTTTGACCCTCGCTATGTTGCTCTCTGTTTTCCTCTCATGTTCCCTTCTGCGTTCCTCTGCATTCCACCCTGTGTTTCTCCTGTGTGCCCTCCTGTGTTCATCTCAGTGTTCCTCTGTTTCCTGTTTTATTTTGTACTCCCTGCTCCTGGTGTGTTTTCCCCATTAGACTTCCTGCCCTCGTCATGCGTCAGTAAGTGTTTCATGTCTTTCCCTGCGTTCCATGACTATTTCTTATGCCATCTGTAACCAAACTAACTCCTTCGACTTTAAAATTCACATTTCTATTATATTATAATAGGTTTGTAGGTCAACATTTTCAATTAGAGCAGAAAAACACAATGTTTGACACTTGTGCTGCTGTGTATTTGAAAGACTAACAACAGACCACCCTCCATGTATCACTATGAGAACAGCTCCAACATGTGGCGAAATACCAACTCTGACAATTGACTTGCTCAAGTGGAATCTGTGTGAGATTTGAAGGTATTGCATGTTTTGTCTTTCGGCATGTGTGTAAGTCAAAATGATTTTTGTGGTAAATTGTTGTCATCACCTTCTGCATTTTTAAGCAATGAAGAGAGTAAGATGAGGGTGCTGCAAAAAAAATGTTTCTGGTTAGTGTGAGTGTTCTGGCTGCAGAGATATAAATAACTTCAGTGTTTTCTGACTGTGAAGCTGGCATTCAGAACGTATTGCTATTTAATCCCATTTGGATTAAACTTCATCATGGTTTAATTTATGCTGAAAAAATAGAGTAAGTGCGCAGTCACAGAGGCATCACTGAAGTTACATTTAATGCTGGGAATGAAGCTTTGGCAGAGGCCTAATAATTTCTATTATCAGAGGGCTCCAGTTGGTTATGTAGTTTTAATACTGATTTTAGATATTTGTCGTGGACCCATGAAGTACAGCATAGCAGAGAGGGACTGCTGAAATGACCAGTCCATGGGTGAAATGATCCTTGAGGTTATATGTCGGTTAGGATTTAAAGTGTCTTAGCAGCTCTCAGGGGAATACTTTCACACAATGAATGTAGAGCTTCGACGGGTGAGACAGCGACTCTGGCAAAAAAAAAAGGGCAAAGTCAAGGACGACATGGCACAAAGAGCAGGGAAATCTCTGCTCGTGTGCTTGTCACATTGATGCAGATGGCCCATTCACACTTCTTTCCCTGATTGAATATGACTGTCACCTTCCAACACACAAGACAGACAGTTATTTGCCTGAAACACAGAATGAGAACAGAGCTGCACCTTTTCATGAATTAATGAACCACATTTTGACAAGTACTGTGTCGAGATTTGCTGAAAATTGTTGAAAGATTCAGTCCTGACAGCAAGATGGAAGAACGTCTTTTAAAATATGGATTTCAATTGGAACAGGTGTAATATACTAATTTCATAGTCCCTTTACATCTCCATCAATCACTGGTGACAGCAGTTTGGATACCATGCAAAAACCGTGAGAGTATACACAACCTAATTTCTTTAACAAGCAGAACAGCAGCAATACTAGTCACACACACACATCTCTTTTTTTCTGTCTTATGCAATCCCACACAGCAGAAGACAGGCTGCTGGAGATCAAACAAGATACTCGTCAAAGCCTCACCCTCTCTACTTACAACAATCCCCACCTCATCTGATGCTACTTCAAAGTTTCCCCAGTCACAGTCTTATCTAAATATGGTCTGCCGGCAGCCTGATCTGGTTTTTAAAAATCAGACTGTAATGATAATCCCACAAAAAGAAGCACTTGTATCGAGCTGATCTTGATCTCACGGCTACATTTCATATGCAGCTGCAAGATTTACATCTGGTATTATTACAAATGCCAAAGCCTCTCACTCCAATCTCTTGCTCTCTGACAAGTCTGGAATTTGTCAAAAGATAAAATAATGCTGCTTTGATACTCATATGAAATTGATAGAATCAGGGAGATTGTTATATTTCTAAAGGCAAGGTGCTAATCTGTGCTCAGTTCCACCAACGGCTAAGAGATAAACATAATTAGCATGCAAATGGATGTGGGATGTACAGGGATTTTTATTATTTTTTAGGGAGAAAAGGAATCTCTCTTTTCCCTCTGAGAACACACCTTTCATGTGGAACCCTGTGTTCATCTCCTTAAAGTCTCATGAATCAGATCAGTTTCTAATCATCATCATCTCAGCGCCTCGCTCCGAGTAAGTTGCCATGACGCCGTGATAAACGAAGACCACAATCCCTCTGATTATGAAGGGAGGAGGGTGTGATGATTAATGATGGATCCTTCCAATGCTACATCATGTGCCACCAACATGTGTCATGTTAGCAGCTCACACACAGAGACATCACAATGAGGTAATAGATTTATCCCAACATCAGCTTAAGCCCTCCAGAATCTTTAATAGATCTTCCAGAGCCCAACAAGGGAGTGTGTTAATGCCAGCAGTGCTGATGTAGGGGAATCTGCTCAGCCGTTCATCCAGACATCACGGACTAAAGCCAGGTAACCTCTGCCCAGTCCTGCCAGGGGGCTAACAGTCCATTATGTGCCCTTTGCTCCCTGTTATAATCCTATAATAACAAAAACTATATTCAAATATATAAAGGAGGACAAATGTAGGGTGTTAGAAAGAGAGGAGGATAAGAGGAGAAGTATAAATGAATCCTCTTTAATACTTTGATATTGTCTGTGGTCCTCATCTCCATGGTTAATTTACAGAGCATTAAGGCGCAGCTTTAGGTAAATTGTCAATTAAAGTGGCTGATTACATGTAAAAGAGAGGGAGAGTTATCAACACACAGATCTGATGCAACTGTAGTCGTTTCATATTCATAACACAAATGTTTATTTATGAGCAATGTTCCTAATAGGCCCCAAAGACCAGGGAGAGACAGCATGAGAGAGGATGTGAGGCTCCATTTATTTACTCTGTTGTTGCATAGAGCAGTGTATTAATACTCATGCTTGGCCTTGGCACCTTTCCCCCTATCTTTTACTCTTGCATGAGTCTTTCCCTTCCTCAAGAAGAGAGTGGCAATAAGTAGATAAATAAGTAGACAGATGCTGCCAAATATTAGAAAGAAGCCGTTCATACATATAACATTTGTGACAGTAACTTTCAGTCTGTGATCAGTGAGCCAAATAAGAATATGCTGCAAGAATGAACTCACTTATGTTTCATGTGTGATCACAGGTTGCATCCAGGTACTCTGACATTTTGAGTTAAGCGTTACCCTTCTCTTGGCTCACCCCACTATCCCCCGGATTTACATACACTGGATGCACATGCAAGTTAGTCATGGGGTTCCACTAGGTTCTGTCCTTGGACTGACACTCTTCACCTCTTTTCCAACCCCTCTCTCATCTCCTTCCCCCGTTTTCTTTGCTCACCCAAACCGGTCGAGGCAGATGACCGCCCACATTGACTCTGGTTCTAGAGGTTTCTCTCTGTTAATGAGGGAGTTTTTCCTCCACAGTCGCCAAAGTGCTGCTCATTGTGGGAACTGTTGGGTTTCTCTATATTTTGATTTTAAGGTCCTGACCTTCTATGTAAAGTGCCTTGAGATAATGTATATTATGATTTGGCGCTATACAAATAA